AGATCATAATAATGCTAAGCAAGCTTAATCAAATTCAAAAAACCTCAAAGAAATTTCAAACAAACAATAAGAATTCTTAAAAAAATATTAAAAGGATCACAAATATCATTCAAATACATCTCAACTCAATCTTAATTTAATTCTAATTAAAATCCTATTGAACTTCATTCAAAATTTAGGCCAAAATTAATTGAATCTTAAATCCTAATAATATCCTAAATCCTAAACCAAACCCTAACCAAATCCTAAATCCTACATAAATCATAAATTTAAAATCCTAAATCAAATCCTAAACCCTAAATCAAACCCTAATCCAAACCCTAAACCGTAAACCAAACCCTAACCAAATCCTATACCAAGCCCTAGTAATTCCTACAACAAATTTAAAACTCAATAACTAATAAATAAACCGTTGATCTTAACCTAAATTTTACAAAATTCTAAAACAATAAGTTAAAAAACAAGCACAAAAAAATTAAATAGAATCGAAGTTTCCAAATTGACAATAACCTCAAAAATGTGCTCGGGTATTGGCCGGCCTCGTTCTCCAATCTTGATGCCAATCTTCTAGAGCCAATATCTCTCTTTTGCACCGTTCGATTGATTTAAAAATTCTCATAAACATATAAAATCAAGTCTAATATTCTCTCACATAAGTTTCACTCCAATCCAACTAGTAGATTGCAAGAAATCTTAAAAACCCCCACTAGACCTAATATTCTACTTTTTGAGACCTTGATCCACTTAAACCTCAATATTCCTCAATTCAACCGTTAGATCGAGCTCAAATTTACAACACATATTAAAATCAAGTATAACCATAAATCCAAAAATTTTCACCCATAGATCTATTATAAAACTCTTGAAATCATCCAAAACATAAACCCTGTTTTATTTCATAAAACCCAAGTCATCCGAAACAAACCTTGACTTTGCAAAGCTCTTACAAAGTCATATCAACTCCAAATCACCCAAAATCAGTGCCTATAGAAACCCTATCTAATCTTCTCTCAATTCACACTCTCCGATCTGCCAAAGAATCCCAAAGTCGTCATCGAGACTCAGTTTTGTGCCTCAGGGTCTGATTTTGACCTTGGTTCATAACTGGCCCTCTCTGGGTATCAAAATCTAGTTTATTTAAGTAATTTTTACTAGAATTTACTCTTAACTTCCTTTTAAAGATGTCTATATCATTTATTCTTCCAATCTACCTTACTTTTCCTTATTTTTGGTCCTACAAAGTAAGTAGAAGCTATTTTTTCTAAAAGGGCAGCATTACTACTAAAAGTTTGACTATCTTCCTATCTTTTATCCATATTTTTCTACCTTTTTTTTTTTTAACTTGGCTCTTCTATAATAAGATCCATATTATCATCTTTTACCATATAGTCATGTTACAATACAACAACGTATAAAGAAGATATTCTGGGATATTAAAGCAGCAACACCTTCTTTTTGATTTTAAGAGTTCTATCTTCTCTTTTCTTGGTTTTCTTTGATACACCCCTTCTTTAGACATGGCTTCAAGTAAAGGCGAGGATTTGAGAATGATTGAGAAGTTTAGAGGTGACAACTTCTACCATTGGAAGAAGAAAATGGAGCTTTTGTTAGCTTCATTGGACCTTTGGGACATTGTTGATGAAAGTGAAGAACCTCCTAGTGATGATGTTGATGTCAAGGTGAAGAAGGAGTACAAATAACATGAAAGGAAGGCTTTTGGCATGATTGCAATAAATCTTGATGATACCAACTTTTTACATGTAATTGCTTGCAATAGACCAATGGAAGCATGGAAGACTCTTTGCTACATCTATGAGAGTAGATCATAAACTTTAAAGTTTTATTTCTTCAATAGTTATTTGATGAACTACAAAGAAGGCTAAAGCCTTCTTATCTTTATTAAGGTATTTTTCTAATTTACCAATGATTTTTTACTTAATGTATTTAGTGTAAAAATATGTTTTTATGTAATTAGCACAAAAATACTAGATATATGAGATTGAGTCCTTGAAAAAGTAAGTAGTATCTTAAGAAGAAGATAACTTTGTCTTTATTTAGTTGAAGCTCTTAGTAGTAAGTGTGGAATAAGATAAGCTAGCCTAAACTTTGTTAGTAGCCAAGTGGGTGATGACCATTGCAAAATCTTTAAAAAATAATTTTATACTTATTATAATAAACTCATGAGCTTCCATTTTTTTAATAAAGTAAGAAAATTTTGTGTCAATGTTGATGATGCATATGTAGAGATTCTACATGGTGATGAACTTTAACTTGAGAAGAAAAAGTTGTCAAAGAACAATATTCATTAATCAACTATCATCAACCTTAACCTTCACATAAGTAAGTTTTTGGATAATGTAAGCAATGACCTTGATAAATGATTCAACAAATTCATCTTTCTTCATATATGACTTATTGATTTTTTTTCTCAATAAACATCTTATATTCAAAAGTAATAGAAAAGAGCCATGTCTTAAAATTGGGTCAAAAGTCTATAAGATCATTTTCATATATTTACACAATAGGCATAACATTGTTATTAAAAATTTGTATAAAAATATATAAAATGTTGATTTTTTTTGTTATTCTCTAACTTACTTGCATGGATTTTGGAAGAAAGATAGAGACTTCTTAATATGCTATTCACAAGTATTAATGTAGAATTTATCATAAAACTAAGAATAAAGCTATTAGAAGTGCAAGAACTATTAAGAGTGTCTCTTCTTGTTTGATATAAAAGATTTATGTAACTATTAATAATACTTCTTTTTTTTTGATGTAGAAGATTTATAAAATTATTAAAGCATATTATTGGACTTACTATCAAAGGTGGCAATAGTATAGAAGCAAAGAGATAGACCACAAACTAACATTTATTTTTCCCAAAAATAAACTTAGCCTTTAAAGACCATATTATACAAATTTTATAACCAATATTTTCTTTTGCCTTTGAAAATCCTTTGTTAGCTTCAACTATCTTTGCAATCAATCATTGAATATTTTATTCTATACAAAGAATATCATAGAATTACAAAGAAGTATAGTATAAAGGAAAAAATCAATTGTATACAAAGAAATAAAGTAATACTTAAGATGTCAAAGTAACTGTAGAAAGATTCAAAGATTAGTGATGCTTAAGTATATTTTTTAAAATTATTATATATTTATTTATACTAAAATAAAGTTTTTAAAGGATTTTTTGTGACCCACAAATAAATATGTACTTATAAAAACTTATATTTTAAAACATATAAAGAATTCAAAGAATTTCTATTAAATCTTCTATTTTAAAAATATATTTTATTTTAAACTTTAAATATATATATATATATATATATATCTTGTACATTATTAAAATATTATACAATTAAATATAAAACTAGTTTCTAGAGATTCTAATTAAAAAACATATTTAGAAAATAATTTCTTTAGTCAAAAAACTCTTTAGTGAATATTATGCAAATTCTTATTTATAAAATTTTAATTTTAAAAGATAGAAAATATAGAATTAAATATTTTAGTTATTATTTTAGTTTAAAAATATTATATTAGATTTGACAACACAAAAAAAAATATCAAAATAGTTTTTAATCTCCTTACATAAGAAAATAATTAATAAAAATAAATCATAAATTTATTATTATTTATTTTAAAAAAAATTTAAAAATTTCCTATAAAGTATTTTTTTTCATATGATTATTTTTAATGCAATAAAAGATTATGAAACTATCACAACTTTAGTATTAAGATTATTTTTATCTTATCATTAAAATATGTATTTTCTATTAGAGCTAAAATATTTTTAATAAATAATAAATTAAATATATATTTAAATATTATATTATTTACTTATAATATAAAAGCTATATATATTCAACATACTAAAAAAGATCTCTACATATTAATCTAGATATTTTTTTATTTTTTATTGATAACTAAATAATAAAAAATTATAATTTCAATATAAGTATATATGTGTGTATATACATGATGATTTTTTTAATAATATATTTGATATTTTGAATGATAAATTGATTAATCTAAAAATAAATAAATAAATAAAACACATATAAATTTAGAGATTATTTCTAAAAACAATTGATATATTAATAATAAATTATTTATTTTTTGATTTTAGAATAAAGACATTTTAAACATAATTTTTTAATTTATAGATATATTTTCTTCTCCAAGTTATATAACTATCATAAAATAGTTTTGACAAGAATTTATTTCAAATATGACATTTTAATATATCATTACAAAATATAAGTATAGATTTTTAGACTTTAGTATTAAACTACAGCCAATTGTATATGACTTTCCCTAACTATGCTTATCAAAGAGATATTTAAATCATTTATATAATTAATCATAATAAAATAGTTTATTAAAATTTGTGGAATATATTTTAAAATGTTACATATTATTAAATTGATACATATAGCCTAAATAGAAAATGTAAAATCAATATTTGCAAAAAATTATTTTTATTTTTATTTTTGTCATAAAAAAATAGGTTTAAATATATATATATATATATATATATAGAAATGTTTTTATATAATTCTTTGTGCACTTTTTTGTATTGCCTAACTATTTGTATTATCCAATTTTATATTCTGAGGTGCACATATAGTTATGTATATATATATATATATATATATTTATTACCTATTTTAAAACATAAAACTTTAACATATATAATTTATTGGTGACATGCTTGATTTTTAGATCATGTTTTAGTTTTATTTTATTTCACTCTATCCTAGTTAATGATTTTAGTGATTGAAGATGTCGTTTTATCGGCACACTCTTCTTCATAGGTGGACAAGCATTTAGTACACAAAGTATTAGTCTTTATTGAAATCAACCATGGCTGAAGTAAGACTAGAAAATTTTGAGAAAACAGGGTTTGGGTTCTGGAGATTCTGTGCGATCTTAGAAAGCAAGTGGCCATAGTGCGGAGACAACTGAATGAAGAAATTTTTTGGTGCCTGTTGATTTGCAATTGATTCCATGATTACATATTTGATGTTGCCAAGAGATGGAATTTTGTTTACATGGTCCGTGATGAATGTGTAAATTGTGATATCCTACAGAAAAGTTTTTTTTTTTTTTTTTAATTATCTCCTAAAATGACAAAATTGAAAAGAAAAGAAAAGGGGAAAAACTACGCTACTTATAAACAATATCAGAGGTTAGTAAATAGCAAGACTGTAGTCCTATGAATAGGTGGCTCGGTTTATGGGTGAAGGATTTGTAATGGAGGCCTTGGTTGTCTTCTTCGTACCATTGTCGTGGCTGAAGCCAGTTCTGTTTTGAGGCTACAGTTGAGAGCCATTGAGGTGTTAAATGATAACAATTGCTCATCGAGCGTATAAATTATAATCATCTCTCCAAGAGTTCTTCAGTCGTTGGGTGATCAACGTGATGAGTGGAGACCGGACTATGGCAGCGGGTGTGGTGGGAATTCGGATCAGTCATCGACTCTTTCTTCAACCATGGTCCTCCGCGAGAAAAGGGGATCAACAGCTGATGGAGGGTAGGTGCAGGAACGAGAGTAGGAGAAGCGCTTCCGTTTGATTCTCTCTCATGAAGTTGGCAGGGCATCTCTACCGCTCCATGCTCAGCAACTGGACGGACTACCGCTTGGTCAATAGTAGCACCCTTCTGTGTGGCTTGTGCTGAGAGCTTGTGGTAGAGCACCCTGAAGTAGTGCACATAATGGAATAAGAATGCTGCACAGATTTGCAGAAAAAATTGTCATTAGTCGTTTACAACAAGGACTGCAAAAAGAAGGATATTGTTTCAGAGAGAGGAGAGAATCTTAACTTACTACCGCTAGTGGCCGGTCATCCTTGTCATACATTAGAAACAAACTGAGTCATGTGCAGACAATGATAGTATGCTGGATTCTTCCCTGCCGATCGGCTCGTCAGTGCTGTGAAACGTTAAGACTTACTTTTCTAATCCATACGAAGATTATGTGTTACCTGATTGACTCAAAAAATATACATATAGCTTTTTCTTTTTCCCTTTTTTTTTTGGTTCCTTTTTTTTCCTTTTCTGTGATGATCCTTCTCCGCTGTCATGCATCCACTTATCTTTGTACTGCATTTCAATATTTGCCTCCTCTTTCTTTTCCAGATTCCCAAATTACCCTGTTTCTTTTCTGTTCTTACGTGTCATTAATATATGACCGCTTTGTCTTTGAATAATTTCCATTATGAATTGTTCTGCAATGTCACAGCACACGGGCTCTTTCAGTTTTCTCAGACATCTTGACATTTTCTGGGCACGTTGTCCACTACGTACCTGGATTTTGAGCTGTAACATGCTCAACTTGCTGAGGCGTCAAGAGTTGTTGCAGGTAGTAAAGAGGTCTGAAACATGGCAGCGGACTCCGATTGTTGACGTCCACGAAGAATCCTGAATGAGCATGCTCCATGGAGATCGGCTGTTCAAAACACCCTGGAGCAGCAACCGCTAGGTACGAACTCCAGTTATGAGGTCTCTTCTTGTAAGGAAATTGGAACACACTCGGTCCAGCTGACCCAAAATGTTCTGTAGTATTTAGAAGAAAATTCTCAACACCATACTGGGAGCTTGTGGCTTCTGATCTGACGTCTAGATCATTAGCATTCAAGAGCTCGAAGCGGGTCTCCCATCCTGTCTTCGACAATGCTTCAACATCACACCTCCTCAATACGGAATCGGACATGATTGGAGCTGATTGGCCGTTTTGTCTGGATATCTTAGCTGCAACTTGATCAGGACCTGCAGCTGATAAGCAACCACTAGAGCTTCTTGTCTGAAAAGGATATCTTTGGATCTCGCATGCCACGTCATCACCTATTGAGCAATTTATCATACCTGAGTTGTCCGGTCCCTTACAATGAACAAGATTTCGACTCATGCTGGCCGTACAGGATAATTTATTTGTAGTGTGCGGTTTATTCAATCCGGAATCGCTGTTGCGATTACCTTGAGAAATGATGAAGTTATTTGTGACCTTAGAACTTGGCACAGTCAGCCTCGGCTTTTTTGGAATGCTGGTTTGGACACTGAGATTTTTACGGGTAGTTTCTTGTTGACAGACAGCAGAGAACTGTTCACTTTCAACTTCATCTGTGATTGCCAATCTTCTTTTCGATCTCCGGGGAATTTCGATTTTATTTTCAAACTGTTTCTGAGTGGCAACCGATTCCACCAACTGCTGAGAACGTTGGATCGAGTTCTTGGTATTTGCGTCATGGTGAAAAGAGCAATGTGATTCAGTACCGAAACTCTTCCGTCTTCTTGCTATTGCATACCTTGATGATCTCAAGAAGTGAGAGGGGCTGCAAACAACTTTTTGCAACGTGGTAGACCCAGTTGTAAATTCCAAACAATTTCCTGTGAAAGACGACAAAGCAGCTTCAGTTACTAAATTTATTTAACAATGACTAGCACTTATGTCGCACTTCTGGCAGTAGTGATGTTAACCCATTAGACCAAACCGTAGTATATATCATACAATTAACTGAAGGATGTGTAGGTGTCTAGATATGAAATCCAGTTCAAAAATTCATTCATTTTTTTAAAGAAACATTTAATAGAGGTTTCTTAGCAACTCAAAAATGTAGTTCACAAATGCTACTTGCCAGAGAGACTGTTCAAACGATTAGTTACTGCTTCTCCACCAAGCCATTGGTAGGTAGCTGATTGTGAACATCTTCTGGTTAGACATCTCCTGATCAGGTGCAGAGTTCCCAAAATTCTCAAGCTATCTAGTAACCTTCTTCCGGTCACTGCTCAACAAACATGGCACCAGTTAGTTAGCTAATCTATAATTTCTCATTGTCGTTAAACAAAATTTAGTGATACTACCTCATTCACAAGCTACTTAATCACTAAAACTGGTTTAAATTTAGATACAAAAGTACTCAAACTTTACTCACAAAAATTATCTTTATAATCCTTTTCTTGATGATTATCAAGGAAGATAGTCAGAACTTGATCCCATGAAACAGGAGCGGTCTGCACGAACGCAAGGAAAATGAGTTCTGAAGGGTGCTTAACTTTTGTTATCAGTGGAGACCTGGCTGACTGATATCAACAGATCCAAATGTGGCTCCAGCAAGTAGGTAGTTGCAGTTAAACTGGCACTTCTTTACGATACTTAATTATTATTTGGATTCAAGTTCTAGTTAAGAAACACAATGCTTTTACACATACCACGTCCATCAAGAACAGTCGGATAAGTCTCTTGCTCAGACTACACATTGAGTTGTCCATCGCCTGGCTCTCTGATGTACTTCCACCAGTGGCTGAAATGGCCATTAGAAAAAGGTTTTGTGAGCAAAATAGACATGAAGGGGATTCTGCCCGTTCCCTGCTCCCTTTACTAAAGAACATGAGATTCAAGGTATGCCTTGTTATTATCAATGCTAATTGGTTTTATTTTCCCTAATATGGACTGTATGAAAACAGTTCTCGGAAACTCACGTCGGAAAGTTGGCTGCTCTAGCAGAGACGTGTTAAAATCAAATCTGGTTCCTGCACCCGTCGCCATTGGTTTTTTTCTTGCGTTTTGCTTTACTTCCTGTAGTGATTATTACCCAAAACGTTGCCTTCTTCAAATTAGATAACCACGACGTGTTGAAAAGTTCTGAACTTTGGGAAGAGTTGTATGTGCACGTAGGGCTTGCATTCAAAAGACACGCTACAGTTTCAAGAATATCAATGTGAAAAGATACTGTGGCCAGTGACTTATCACCGGAGTGTGGTAAGTGAAAACATTCAAATCAAATCCCAATCGCACTGGTAGCGGGTACAATAAAAATATACTTCGAAAAATATCCTTTGGGTACAACCAGCACCTTGGACAGTCTTGTTAGAGTGAATATCACGTTTGAACTACCCAGCCATATGAACTTTTCTTTATCACATTGGTGCACAACGCCAACACTTTGGAGGACGCTGAAGATCCCAGCTAAGACCTCTCGCTTTGATCCTGTTGTGACATAGGAATTAGTTCCTCTCATCAAAGCGAAGAAAATCAAACCAAATAACATTGTTGTCCCACTGCAGTCTTTGCCAATACGGCTGGTACTGTTTAAGTCACATCATACGAAATCACTGGAACATCGTGGAACAATACTCAAGTCTCTCACCAAGATCCTTGGCTAATATCCTCAGGGATATAATTGACTCAACCGGCTTTAACGAGCAAGCTTCCAAAACCCTGCCAAGCCCAAAAGGCCAATTCTTTAGTTTTGAAATCAAGAAAATCATAATTTTACCAGAAATACAGCACAAATGTCTTAGTCTTCAACATCTGTCTGCATTACAATTAACAGCAGAATGCGAATGGAATAAAAACTCAATTTAAGAAGAAATCAAATGAACACTACACTGATCTATTGAATTCGAAGTAAGATACTCAATTCACCAAGATGCCTTACCGGTCGGTAACATTAGCTACAAGATGGTCGTTGACATCGCCATGAAGGCCCTTCAAAGCATTCTTCCATTGCTCGTCACTCCTAGCGGCTACCACCTGGAAGTAGGAACACTTTAAGAGTTCTGTCTTTAAGACCAACAGGATGTAGAAACGGTTTTGACGTAACCGTGCAGGATATATTCATGACTCTCCACAGAAAGTGTCACAGATCTAAGGTAAGTAACATAGGAAAGAGAAGATAAGTGAATATCACTCCAAAGTCTAGATTGGTACCCATCTAGACTTTGGAGTGATATTTTCACACAAGTAGAAAAGTGATGCTCAAGGCGGGATTCCATAGAATCGCGTTCACCTGCTTCCTTGAGATTTGGCGGCTCTCTTTTCTCGTAGAAGGAAGGAGCAACATTGAGTCTGTAAAGAGAGGTGGCTCATTCTTCGGCACCTCTTCAGTTGCTGGTGCTTTTGACCTTGAAGGGCTCGTATTCGGCGGAAGAGCTGGTGAGTAACGGAACAAACCCGCGAGTAAGTTGTTAAAAGTAATCTAAAACACCTGTCGGTGTGAGCGGAAATGCTGGAATGTATACACAATCTTACTTGAAGCAAGGGTGAAGGTTGTAAAATTGTCTTAACCTTGAAGAGGTAAGCGGTACTGAACTGATATTGGATGATCACTCATTTGCGCCCTGCTACTTCGAAGAGGTGAAGAACCTGTAACACCTGTCATTGAATAACCATGTAAATACAGCCTGGCTACTAATCGTCTTGCGATTTGGTGCTCAAAGTAATGCGAATGGTTTTTAGGGACAACACGAATATAGACCCTTTACAACGGAGAAACGCATCGAACGTGACTAACAAGAATATGTCCGTTGCAGTGAGACTGGGTATGAACTAAACGATTGCATTTTCAGTGCTTCAATTTATTGTTCAACCATCAGCCCTACCTTTCAAGTTACAATGTAGCTTGAAAGAAGCAGCACCAAGAGGAGCGTCGTTGTTAGCAAGAACTCGAATGCTGCTCGAAACTGTGGTTCCAAGTAACTGATGCTTATCATCGTAGGCCGCAACAAGAAGTCTGAATTTTGAGGTCTCGTGTCTAGGGCAAACGTGAGTGCTGGCTTCGTCAATTGCGATATATAAATGTCGAGGCTCCTTCCAGGTATCTTCTCCATCCACTGCCGCGGCTCCCCTTCGGGGCATTCTACCAAATCGTTGAAGACCTCGAATAACAGAACCGGTGCAACCTTTCCGGCATTTCGACCGTGTCACAGGCATCCAATGATACAATATAGTGTTCTTGTCGGGTCTAGTTGTTCCATAGGGAATCGCATAAACAACGTAAATGTACAATTGAATGCGAAAGTTGTTGACGAAGCGTACATGGAACTTCAGACAACTCTCACGTAGTTGCTCCTCCACCTCAGATCCCACAACAGTTTCGATTGCCTCTGAAACTCTCAGTTCTGTTACCTTGCCACCACTTAAATCCTGAATAACGAGCTCCACTTGATTGTAAGAGCACTTCTGTTTTCCGAGCTTATACGCTCTGCATGAATTCCTGATAGTAGTTAGCAATATTCTAATTCCCCAGGAGCATCGCCCACGCCATAAGAGGAATAAAATGCTTGAGCACAGACATCGGTTAGTTGATTATTATTGGTGAACCAATAGTTGAATGCTGATCTAAGATTGCTGCGTACCCCTCAAGTATCTTAACATTAATTTACCAACACAAACCAATACAAGTTAACTGATTGACACAGATGCAAGCTAAGAAGATTGAGCTTTAGTTTCTTTGATAATCATAAATTCCGCATCAACGATGTGAGCACAATCTATCACTATCACAAGATCCTTGACTCTTGTTCTAAATCATTTCGTTCAAACGCACGTTCACGACGTTTGCAGACGTATGTTTCGGTGGACGATCGTACCTTAGTTCTGGCTGTTCAAAAATTGCTACTGCAGAACTCGTTGATTCGGGGCATAGAATCTCCGAGGTTCTCGGAAAGCCCCTTCCAGCAGAGTTCTCCTTGCCATTACGCAACCGAAGCTCCTCATCACAAATCATTTGCCTCCTCGTCGGCATCATTTGATAACCTTTAACAGATTGGCAGCTCTTGATCAATGTAAACTTGGAAGACGATAGATTGCTAGAAGGATGTCTGGTGTCCTCATACAGCAACCGGCAAGTCTTCTGAATGCGGTTTCGTCTCCCTTCCAATTCCAATTGAGCTATGCCTCCAATGCTCTGAGGGTGCTCCAAATTAGATGAGCAGAAGCTTTTTTGTCTTATTCTTCGAAGTTCAATGGTCAGTTATTGTAATCGCGGCCCTCAGGATTGAGGTATAATATGCGAGCACTGAGTTGCACATACAGGGTACCAAATGTGCAAAAAGTTGACTCACTCGACAAAGGAGAGACTCTCCGTGGGGTAAAACCCTACGGGAACCACCATCTTTTTTCACTAATCTAGGAAAGAATTGCGAATTGAAATCGGGTTACAAAAATATTACCGACGGCCTAGACTCTTGATACAGTTTCAACGAGGATCGCGAAGCTCTGTCAACAATCTAATGCTGATGATAATTTCGGGAATTTCAACTTCCAAGGTCTTTAGACGAGAGGCCGTTTATTCAAATAAATCGTGTTGCACTTTCAAATGAAAATAATCTACAACATTAAATTAGGAGTACAGAATAAATTAATGGATTGACATTGATATGATCCTGTTGTTAACACTGCAAAGCTGAGTGTAACCATGTACAGATCTGCTTATTCTTGGAGTGCAATTTATCTAAATTTTGTTAGATTATTTCAATGTGATAATGCTATCTGCCAGCTTGACGTTAACCGATAGCTGTAAACTGCAGAAGATGAATCTAAAACAACCTAACCACTTTCGTTTCAAAGCAAAACCCATACACAATTACCTAGCACTCCCAACCTGCAAAGAATCTATAGTAATTGACAAGTTCCTGAATAGTTTTTGGTCCATGATTGATCTATTTTGGCTGATTCACATGCTGTTGATGACCGTTCAAACTAGACTTGTCACCCAATCACCAAAGCTAGTCCGGGAATTAAATATGCAGAATACTTGAACTCGCACTTGTACATCGAAACTAATCCAAGGTATCTGTGATACCTGAAACGATCGTATTTGAACATAAATCTCGTTCGATCCCTCATTAAAACGGAAACAAACAGGGAAAAGGCACGCGAACACTTAGCAGTGTCGTAACAGCATCATGGTACAACTCACAAGAGGACTTGTAAAAGCAGAGACCAACTCTTCCATTACTCTCTTATCACTCCCCTGAACTGCCTCTAGCTACTCATCCACCTTGCACGCCATTCATTCTCATGAACTAGAAACAGACACCAATTATAAGTGCTGCAATCGATCGCGACCATTGGTAAAGAGGTAGGAAAGAAGTAGGGAGAAGCGATCAAGAGGGCGATGCGAGAGAGCAGTTACAGCAGCATTGGAAGGCACCAAGAAAACCAGCGAAGAGAAAATATAGCGTCAATTTTGATTCCGCAAAAGCATGGGGCTGAGGCTCCTAGGCTGAATGGAACTTGGGCAGCCTGCACTGCTGCCCGGGGCAGGGGTTAAAGTTTTTCCTCTTGCCCTGCCTCCCTCTCTCACGGCTTCTCGTTCTTGGCATGTGAGCAGTTCCGCTTTCATTTGTACAACGAACAAATGAATAGCCGACCACATGAAACCCATGGCTCTGTAAGAAAATTGTGGGGTACCTGTATGCCGCTACTCAGCTTGGTATGAAAGTTCAGTGTTGCAATTGATAGTCTTCATTGTATTGAGGGTTGATTAAGAATAGAGTGGCGAATCAGAATGGGTAGCCAAAACATAAAGTTCATGAGAGATAATGGTGGACATCTAGCCAAAGACGCATGTGACCGCTGACACTCAGGTGTGTGAGTAAAAGTATCACAAAATCCATTCAGCAAACGAACAGAGCAAACAGGCTAAAAGTAAGAAGCAAAAACATCTCACAGATACACGATGAGTATATGAAAGTGAGTCACTATCACAAGCTTGGATTACCCAGTGAATGTCTTGACGCATCACCGGAGAATGTCTTCCTTTTTGACATATATAAAACCACCGAACGAACGTAATGAATCGATGGCATGGCAGTCAATCAAGTGTGTGCGGTTCATACGATGAAGGAATTACCACAAAGCTGTCCTTAAATCATGTATATCACGAAGTGCTGTTCAGGACTGCTAGAAGTCATGGGACTGTCACCCTGCGGTAATCAAACGGTCCCAAGCCACTTGCACATGACCTGTCTTATGCTACAATTTTGAAGCTACTGTATACTTACAAGATTACTATAGCACCACATATGGTACTAGCTAAAAAGTATGCAGAGAACTCAACACAACTTATGCTGGTCCACTGTAGTAGAAATCCTGCTATGAACGGTAGAAAAAATGAATCCTGATCTAGGGCCAGAGATAACCTGTACAAAGGATTCCTTTGCGAGCTATCACGTAGAAACTACAAAAAACAGAACCCATATGCAGAGATTGCACCCAAATGGTAGACGTTTTTTTCACAATGGTCATGTGTCATAATCAGAGTTTATTCCAAATATTCGCACTCTGTGCATATTCGGAAACTTGGCAATCACCAACCAGCAGACCGCAATCGTATTGAGGAAGAGGTTTGGGTTCCTATAGTCGGTTGTATGTGACGCTATCAGGTACCTGCCAAAATCACCGACTCCACAAGCTGGTCAATTAAAAGCAATTTCGGCATGATATTCACAATCCAGATCACATACTGCTCTGCATAATAAGAGACAAAAATACGGCGGTGCAGCATGCCCTGTAATTCTACTAGTAAGATTGATTTTATCGAAAAATCGAAATCTACCTAATTACTTGAAGCATTTGAATAAGATGATAGGGCTACGGTAAAGAAAATATTTTATTGCAAAAAATTAATCCACTGCGCAGTAAGTGCACAACAAGCAGACAGAAGAACCAGTTAGAATAACGTTTCTTGGGGACTCCAGATCGACCTCAAAGCGGAGTGAGAAAAAAGAGAACAACATTTAACAAAATCTGATGAAAGTATAATTGGGTCGAAAACCAGGTAATTATGAAGTGCAAGACGTTCTGGCCTACTCAAGGTAGGCAGTGACTTGCATAATAACTTTTGTTAAAAACACATAATTAAAAGCGTCGGATTTCTACTGCGTTACTAAAATGATAGACCACTTCGTCCCATAGAAGTTCATCAGAGTGAGCGCAGAGGTGCAACCAATAAATCTCGCCGTTTCATAACAGTTCCATGAATTTCATTCAACACCTAAGACATACAAATCAAACGCCTTCTACAGGAATCCAGAACGATTGAATATCGCTATGAGCAAAAAACCGTGACATCCAAATCCATTCACCCACCGCTGAACAGTATTATCGAGAAAATTTGATAGTAATACTCTTGCACGACGAAACAATTATGGACATGTTCCTGTGCTGGCTCTCTTTCGTGTAGTTACTGAAATATCTACAAGATCAGGCTCTTCAAGCAGCTAAGAATCTAGATGTGCAGTTGTCAGGAAGACATAAGGGATGATAAACTCAACGTGAAGCAGACCCTAATAACGCACATTCCAGCCATCGACAAGGATCATTTACAAAACGAATTAAGAACATATGACTGAAAATTCAGGGAGTATGCGATCGGTATCCCAACTTTCCATGAACTTTTAAATCTTTGAAAGAGGTGAAAATGACACTAAAGGAACATATTTTTGTCCATAAAAATATTCAAGAAAGCTTTTCGCCGCACGCGCGAAATCACACTCCAAGAGCCACGCGAAAGATAGACGAATAAACGTAAAAGAGGGGAGAAGAGCTACTCACAGGACGACAGGAACGACGGTCAAAAACTTCCGGTTGCGAGTGAGCTGGCGCCCATCGTCCACTTGCTCCCACCATGTAAGCTTCCCATAATCACCTTGGTCTTCAGCGAACGGAGTCCCTTTCTTCCAATGGAAAAATCGGTAAGTAACCTGCTCATAATCAAATCCAATGCAAACCAGCATAACACAACACAAAACCTCTGAGTTAAATTAAAAACAAATAAGACAACAACAATCTTTTGCTCACCATTATGCTTAAGTCTACATCATTCCACTACCAACGAACTCCTAATCAACAGCCAATTCACAGGAACCTAAAACGCGGAAACGAAGGGGTAGCAAAAGCACTCCCATCCCTCAAATCACACCTACAAACTCCCCATCCGCAACAAAGATACACAACGAAGAAACAGAGGAGACGCGTTACGGCGAAGTGGACGAGGTTGACGACAGTCCATGCGGTTCCGGCATCGCATCGGAACGCGGAGACGATGGCGAGCCACGAGAACAAGATAATCAGAATATACGTCGTCCAAATGCCGGGATACTGAAACCACGAAGTGTTCTTGTTGGTGTCGGGAGGCGGCACCACTTTCACGTACAATCCTCCGGGCACAGTCTCCACGAGCTCCTCCGCGCTCCTCCCCCAGCGATGCAGCAGCCCTTCCGCCATGCTCATCACGCTCCCTAGGGTTTGTATTGTTGTAGACGGTGATGTCTGGGATCCTGTGCACAATCTAGGCAACGCGCATCAACAACGATGAGTCCCCCAAAACACTAACCTAGCCAAGGCTGCAAGCTCACAGCGAGCGAGAGACCGAGCGAGAGAGAGAAAGAGCGAGAGATACGGAAGCTTCACCAGGGGCCGGGCCGGGTCGGGTCCGGTCTGGTCCACGGACGCGCAAAACCCGTCCCGGTTACCGTGCCCGTCATTTGGCTGATACGCAGTGATAGGCGTTCGACCGAATACTGTGGGTTGCAATTATTACTCTGCACTTGGATGTAAAGAAACCAACCATTGTGGATTTGGATAAACTAATACTATATCTAGCAAGTCTTGTAATTGGGCCATTCCATGCTTCTTCTTTGTAAATGATTCGTATGGACTTGATTTTGATCAAATTCATATTCATAAGATGTAAATGTATTATTATATATTTTTAGAGGAATGTTAAATAGATACAAGTTTTTAATAAATCAACCCACCCATCTTAACCATCATTAAAAAAACAAATGACATGTAATTCATTGAGCCACTATTGGATCTGCAACCAATAATAGCCAATCACATTCAACCACATGTACTTATATGTACATAGTATATATATATATAGTCTCAAAAAATGTATTTATACAATTTATGTATATTGTTAAAATATTTAGGCAATTTAATATTGAGATGAAGAACGAATTAAGGAAAGTGATGCAAACAATGCGACAGAGGATTGGTGAAGCTTTATTTCTCAAAAAAGAAATAATTGTTGCTAATGTCGAGAAAAATTTAATGGAGTAACTTTCATTGTCTGCTATAATTTCAAGATGCAGTTTAGAGTTAAATACTGACACTATGTATTTGATGATTTTTTTAATGATGTAAAAAGTATAATGATAACGAGTTAATCACAGGTATATGCAAAAAGACGCATTCTTAATTACAGACTCGGAATAAAAACTGCTTTAACTTTGTATTATCATTTTGGTTGTTGACAAGCAATCGTAAACCATTACATTAACTTTAAAATTTTAAGTATATCTCTGATTACACCGTAGTTTCAAATTTCATCACTTCATTTTCGAAACTGTTAAGAAAATTTTGAGTGAATTAGTTTACAAATAGTAATAAGTAAAAAAATAAAAAATGTCCTAGGTGATGTTAAGGTCATTTCAACCAGTGACAGATCCAAGTTAAGATAGAGCTGAACATTCAATGACCACAATTTTGATACTAAGATTGCAAACTTGAGCAACTTGGGTTGTGAAATAGCGTTCCATCATTCAAACAAATACCACCAAAAGCTGAAACAAGTCAACAAAATAAGTACAAAAGCCTTTGAAAAGAATCCCACCTTTAGAAACAACAAATGGTGATCACTGGGTAACCCAAATGAGCTAATATGGCTAACAAAATAGAAAACAGTACCGGTGGAAATGCTTCGGCCCACCTCAAGTGGCTTCGATAATGAAAACGGACATCGGATCGACTTACACAAATTAGGTTTAAACTCAGTTTCGTCCACTTAAAAATTATCAAGCACACCAATACTACTCATAAACTGAAATGTACAAAATGAGGCTTGAACTCCAGCAATAACAACTCCCTGTCCAGAAACACTACATGTTTCAAAGATGGTGGCTACGCCATTTTCCTGTATACCATTGCATCATATACACTTTACCACCCAAAAGGGTCTTAAAATTTATGTCCAGATGACTTACTGCAGCTGCAAATTGATAGCTAGGCTGCTACATGTTCAGAAACCTCAGATGTTTGTATAAATCTTCTGTGGAACCAGGTCAAAGTCCTCATCATACCGGGGCCGATCTCTTCCAATCTGCGAATATCACAAAACCTGCTGTTAAAGAGATATTAAAAAGACTGCGAGGACAAATTAGCACATTTAGCAAATAAACAATAGCAATAAAGCAAAAAGACGGGTTGCAACTAACAAAGAGAAAACTAAAGTAGACTGGATGAACGTAAAGTAATATGAAGGTGATTTAATGAAATGGTCCAACAATTTCCCGTATACAATTGCATGTCCAGACCAACATCATAGTCCCACCAATTCAACCATCAAAATATCAAAATTTGAGACATGCTATAGGTGCATTGGAGCAGGTTATTGAAAATGATGGACTACTCTTTCTGCCTCCTATATTATATAAACTTTACTAGCACTTTATTCACTAGAAGTAAAGCCTTTCGTGTAGAAATAACAATAAAATGATCAAAAGAAGATCGAATAGGAAACATGTGAAGACACCTTCCTGATAGACACAATCTGTTAAAATGAACGGATGTGAAAAGCAAGCTACAAGATGGCAAAGAACCAGTCATTAATTCTCATTTCCACGTGTAACATAATGACGCTAAGAAAAAGGAATACCTTGCTCAAATACGCGTGATCACATGAAACTTGCTCATCCACCCATGTCAGCTTCTTGGCAAGACATACAATACTGCATTCAAGGCAGGGGTCATAAGCCAAGCTTCTAAAATATTAAAATCCAACTGGAAAATGCTGAGATGTGGTGACTACGAAAAAACCAAGGTGTAGGATGACTACATAAGCCGTGAAGTATACGTGTAATAATAATCCAAGCTGCGAAATATACGTGTAGAAGGGTACCAAGCTTAGTAAAGCATCTAGCAAAAATACTTGGAAGAAACGTAGAATATAAGAAATGGAAAGCATACTGGTGAATTTCATTGTTGAGACGCTGGGTCATGTCACATGTATTGTACTGTTCGGGATCTTCTTGAAAGCTGACCATTCCGTCTTTCTGATTGATAGCAGCAAAGATATCGCCATCCTTAATCTGCGCACACCATTTGAGTCAATATTTAATCACACAGTAGCTCCTTAAGTAACTGATCAAGCGTTTGATGAAATTGGTGCAAACAATTCACTTTTCAGCAGTATACCAGATGAGGAGAGAAGAAAACATTACCATTTGTAAGATGTGCAACTCAGCGTCCTTCTCATCATCTAATTGCACCGTGTTAGCAATGTCTTGGAGGGATAAGGTCAAGTAGGTCTGAGTTAATCGCTGAATATTGCGTTTGTATAGGGACGCAATGACTTGCTTTGCCAATCCAAGATTATTATCCTGCTATGCGCAGATAGCAACATAAAAAGAAGAGTAAAAAATAATCATCCACATTGAGTTATGACAATTATACAACATAGTTTCAAAGAACGTTCACCTTAAAAATAAATGTTATACGAACTCTACCCAAAAAAAAAAACTACTTAAGAATTATATCCGCATCCACAACGGGTGGAAAAGACACGGATCAATCCAAGGCCGTAGAGAATTCAGTTTGCTGCCGAAAAATTGACCAGAAACTCACATTCTTAAAGACCTCCTCGTGTTGGGTGATGCAACGCTTCACCTCGGCAATATTTCGGCTGGCATAAAGATTTGCTAGATCCAAATAGTCCTGCAGAGATTTATCCACCTTGTTAGAGACGCTGGTGGTAGTCCTAAATTTGCGGATACCACCAAAAGGTATCAGAGAAATCGGAGTAACGCGGGACAGAACAGTAATGCACCAACATCGTCAACAAAAGGGATACCCAGCTCGTGTACCTGAACGCAAGACTTCAGGTTTCTTAGTACAACAGCGGGAGTATACTTCGGAAAAGGAGGGACCTGTACGATACCAGGAAGACAAAATATCACCAATAGCCCATTTGAACTAATACCCACACGTTGATCATTTCCCAATGCACCCACCCATAGAGGCGAAGGTCCACAGCTGCATTAAGATTCATGGATATCTAGAAAATTCACTATCCACGAGGAATACACTTGATACGCAGACAAGGTAAACATCGTAATAATTCAACAGGATAACTTAGCAATACGGGGAAACTAAGCCCAACACCATCCAAGGAATGACAGAAAGCCCAAGGAAATCAATAAACGCATCAGATACAGACTTCTCGTAAAGTAAAGCATCTTACACTAAATAGCAATTGTCACCATGAAGTTCATTGAAAGGCCGGGTCCCAGAGACTTCTCACAAACCTGACCATTTTGTATGAGTGAAACCAGGACATACTTCCCGAAAGCTGCAATAGTGATGGCGTTCAGGGCCGTCGTAGGAGCAGTAATTGCCTGAAATAATAAGGAAGAGAAAAATATAAAAATCCCATAAATAGCAGCGAGAGAGAGTTTCGGATGTTTAAGATAAAATAAGCCAGGCAGCCAATAAAACTTCTTTAATCAGGCGCTTTTTGTAGAAGGATTGCACAGGTTTAAAGGCAGAGATAGAGTACATGTTGAAAGAACTCTAAGGCCTTAGAGAATTTTTTCAGTCCTATGTAAATCATTCCTCTGCAAACGACAAAAGGCTTCATCAGTAAGGTCGACCAGGGCAAGATACGTTAAAAATGCATCATAGAAAACGAACAGAAAGAGTGAATATAGCACAGATAATGAGAACAAATACCCTAATTATTGTATTTAGAATAAAAGTATGTAGTACATACCCATAGTAGCAATACAGAAGGAAGTCCCGTGGAACAAGTGAGGTCTTTTTTTGATCAATTTCAAATATGTCATCCTCCAAGATACTAAGACTAGCTTTGTAGCACTTGGACAGCAAGCACATCTGTAGATAATCTGCATGGATGGCAGTCAAGTATTCACTGGAAGGCTGGAGTTTGCGGATAGCACATTGCAGAGGAAGAATAGCGCGCATAGGTTCATGTAAGTGCATTGCTTGATCCCTTAACCTCCGGCACACGCTGTTAACTGCAAAATACAACCACCCGCGCATCTGAGATAAAAGATTATGGAGTCTAATCGTGGCAGTACTATTCATAGAGATCACTCAGTTCCATAATTGCATTCATCATGAAAATGTGAATGAAAAAGAAAAAAAATGAAATTGAAACACCGAAGATTGAAATTAAAGAAAGAAAGAAACTAGGGAGTGGTTTAAGTACGAAACCATATCATGTTAACCTAAAACAACACAGCAAGATTCTCTGCAGGCCGCAAAAATCAGGTAAAACCAAACTTACATTTGTCTGGTGCTAGGCGAATCTGCTCTGGGGCACAGACAGTGAGGAAAGAGGAGGCCAGAGCCAAAAAACTGTCCGATTGTTCCCTGGTCAGGGTTCCGGATGATTGAGCCTCACTGTGTCATCCATCACCCACACGACATGATATCAGCAATGTGCAAACACGTCTGTCATGGTCCAAACCCATAAGACCCTCTTCTCAGAATCAATACAATTGGCAACGACATGAGCCACATAGAGAAAGCAACAGAGAAACAGAGGGGCAAAAGGACAACGCACAGGAGGTAAAGGTAACCCAGAGAGTGCTTGGTGGGGTGAAGCGAAGAGAGCGAGAAGGGAAGACGAAGGGCGTGCGTGCGCAGAAGCTCATCCGCCTGCTTGAGCAAGCTGCTGAGATGCGCAACATCCTGCTCGCTCCCTGAGAGAGCCTGCACTTGCGCCACTAACTGATCCAGCGCATCCATGGATCCCACAGCTTCCACCCGCAGCCTAGTTCGATCCCTCGCGCCTCCTGGCTCCGTCCTACGATCAATCAATCACTTCCTCCCCCGCAATAAAAACACTATCGATAAGTGAGTTTCGAGCACTCTCCCCGTTCTGCGACGCAGTTCGACAAAGTCTGGGCCCCAAAATTAGGGTTATAAACTGGGGACCTCGGATGTGAACAAGATGGATCCCTTTCGATGTGGAAGGGGCTCGTTCACACTGGCCATATCGTGGGTGAAGCAGCTGCATGACCAAGGCCCCTGAATGGTCGATGGGATCCACGTCATCGCCGTGTACCGCCCTTGAAAGTGCCGTGTGAACGGGGTTACTGAGAGTTGCATGGTTTATTTTTTAACGGAAGCCGGAGCTCTGACGCACTTAATACGTGGGATTAGAATGCATAGGTAGAAAAAAGTCACATTGCATTGCTATATTAGGGTTTTTTGGAACATAACAGGGTTTTTTGGAACATAACAGGGTTTTTTGCTTAGTAATACATAAATGGTTGTTGATGAAAAACATCGATTCTAAGATATCTTCTAATATTTGTTATGTAGAACTAGTTGGTTTTCATTGTAAACACAATTTTCCATGTAAATCGCCTGTGTTGTAGCTCAAATGGAATTTATCATGCTAACGGATTTTAAAGACATCCTTGGTGAAAAGGTCAGTTTTTATATGTGGTGTATTATTAAGAATTTTATCTACATATTGCAAATCACTAGGTAAGTGATGACTAATTATAAAACAATTGCAAAATCCTATTTTGCAAAAATATGACAAGACATTATATTTTACTCTGTAATAATCTAATTAGTTTGAGACTATAATATATAATAGATACATGTTTCTATTAACAATGTCTTTTTTAACTATGGCATAAAAGCACTAAGTTGGTTTTAAAAAAAATATAATAAAGATATTTAAGACGTGCCTATTTAATTCATCTACATCATAGGTTTAGATTGATAAGTTTGAATTATTTATCAAATAGTTAATTTTAAAAGTTTTTTTTTTTTGAGTCTAGCATATATATATATATATATTAAATTATTGCTTTAGAGATACATCCAATAAATAGCAAATGGCTACTTGTTGTTCAACTATAGCTGATTTTTTTAATCTATAAGTAATTTATAATTTATTTTGATTTAAAAATCTAGTAATATATATTTATTATTTTAAAAAATATAAATATATATAATCTAATTATATATATATATATAAATACTCTTAAAAAATTTAAATATCATTTTTAGATTCTATATTTAAATGTGCACTATCTCTAAATATATTGTGTCAACTCTGATTTTTGAAAGAAAGCACTAATATTTTCTTTTCTCGAGCCTTTTAAATTGATTAAAAAAATATAATAAAAATATTAAATATTATAGAGATTCCTCTATATATATATATATATATATATATATATATATATATATATATATATATATATATATATATATATATATATATATATATATATATATATATATATATTAAAAGACTTCACATAGTAATAATATTGCATTGATTTCTTATTTCATATGATAACTATTGTTTTTCTTAATATTTGAATTTAAAATTTATTATAAATTATAATAACAAAAAAAAAATCTTTTAGAAATATGAATAAATTTTTAAAACTAAGTACAATGTACATCTCTTAAATAGATGTTGGTAGTAATGCTTAAAGACACAATGCCTAAAATAGTGATTTTTAAATTATTTAACTATTATAGATATTAATATATATATATGTAATTATTTATTTATTTATTTCATATATATAGATCTTTCAAAAAATAAAAAACTTCTATTATTATTTATTTCTAAAATAATTAATTCCAAAGATACACCTTGTTTTTATTGTTAAATTTAAATAGATATTTTCTACTATTTTTTTAATTCTTAAAATTTTAATGCATATACTATATAATTAATTAATTACTAACATGATTTTTTAAAATTATTTCTCATATTTTATAAAAAATATTAAATTTTTATAAAATATTTTAATAGACCTTACTTGATTTTTTTAGAATTTTATCTAAAAGAATAAATATCTATAGTTATGTTTATAAATCAATTATGGTTATTATCCATGACTTAAATCAAATGACTTTTCAAAAGTTGATAATCCTAAGGCAAAAGATTTGATAAATTGTTTATTAAGACTATATGTAACAATGAAGGGACAATTAAAAGTAGCTCAAGAATAATAAAAGATCAATATAGATGCTTATTGCAAAGAACAATATCAATTCCATATTAACAAGATATGGCTACTTTATTGTAATATTATGATTGATCACCCTTATAACAAATTGGAGTTCTATAGACTTGAATTATTTCCTATTTGTGAACAAATTAATCTAATTGCTTATTGATTATACATATAGGAGTCTATAAGATTCATCTTGTGTTCTACATGTTTTCTTTTGAGCCATATAAGAGAGTGAATATTTTGGATAAAAAGATAAATACCACCTCATATAGAAGTGGATAATAATAAAGAATTTGAAGTTGAAGAAGTCTTAGATTCAAGGCAGTGCCAAAAGAAGTTAAAATATCTTATATAATGGTGTAGATATGGTATTAATAAATACACATAGGATCTAGCTAAGAATCTTATAAATATAGTAAGAAATTCAAAATTATTCATTAATAATACCTATCAAAATCAAAATGAAGAATCAAGTAATCGCTTGTTATAAAAGAAATGAAATTTATTAAAGATTGCATTCTATCCTCTATCCTTGATTGCATTTTTTAAAATATGTTTGTAATGCTAAAAAATTAGAAAATTAAAAATCAATATATTAAATTTAATAATCATTATTTTTTGAATTATTAGACAAAAAATCAATAAAATTAATAATAGCAAATTCTATATATATATATATATATATATATATATATATATAGAGAGAGAGAGAGAGAGAGAGAGAGAGAGAGAGAGAGAGAGAGAATATCACATAATTATATAAAGTCTTTAATAGCTTTTCACATTTGAAACTATCAAAAATCTCTTGATATTAACTCTAAAATCTTATTGTATCCAAAATTTTCTATTGTTGAGAAGTTGTAATAAATTTGAAGAGCTTATAATTGTGCTTCACCTTTTGAAACATATAAGTTTTCTTCAAAATAGGGTAGATTTAAAATAAAAAAAATTAAACTTAAAAGCATCATAAGATTTATAATAGTTTTTTTAATTATCATAAAAAAAATCATATAATATATTTGATTAAACTTGCTTAAAAATATTGAATCAATAGTCAATGTTGATTTTATTGTTGAAAGGTGAAATTATTTTAATTTTAAAGAATTATTTGTTATCAAACAAGACTTGCATTTCTTTCTTTTAGTGCAAGATAAGAACTTGTAAATAGGACATTTAACAAATCTTGTTGTTTTTATAATCAATAAGTAATCTTAAATTCAATTTTTGATAAAGACATGCTTTAATGGGCTTAGCAATAATTTAGAATAAGTAATGACATGAATTACTTATGATTCTTATAATATGTATGAGTACTCATTGGACTTCATGCATTTTTTAGATAATGGTGTCATTCTTAAAATGAATTGATATTGGAAAAACATACTTTATTATAGATCTTATAGATAATTTTTACAGCAAAAAGATTTCTTGAATGAAAATCAATAGAATAAAATTTTTCATCTATTTCTATTTGTGACAATATTGCACTACATGCAAAGTGTGATGCATTTGTTTTTATAAAAAAATATCTTTGAAAATTCAATATAATAGAAGATTAGTACAAAAATAAAAATTATTTTTAAAACTTCAAATATTCATTTAGTTTCTTTATTCCACTTAAATTAAACTTTAAAAGTCAAATATATAAATAGAGCTACAACTTTAAAATAGTTCTTAATAAGAATCTAATAGTAATTGACAAATCTCAAAAAATATTGAATATTTTTTATTATTCTTTGAATCTTTCAATGATACTTTGAATTTTTTTAGGATTTATCATAAGACCATCATTTGAAATAATGTATCTTAAGAAATTAACTTAAGTAGTGTAAAATACATACTTTTTTATATTGGCATATATAATCTTTTATTTCTTAATTTTTGTAATATATGACAAATATGAAATTCATGATTTTTTTTGTTCTTAGAATAGATTTAAGTATCATCTAAATGAAATATAAGAAAATTCATTGTTTTATCCTAAAACAATTAATGAGTTTATTTGTTGATTTATACATGGCAATTATCTCAGACAATGTGCAAAAGTAAAGAGCCTAAAACTGGTTCTTTAAAATGCTATTTATTCAAAAGACGAATTATCTTTGGAAGTTTTTAACAATTATCCAAAATAAGAATGAGTGAGTTAATTTTAATTGAAGATAATTAATATAGGTTTTATTCTATAGAACTAAACAAAGAAGATAGAAAAAAATTAATTTTAATTTTAAAAAATTAAAGTTGTAAAATAAAGACATAAGCTAAAGATTTTAAAAGGTGGTATTTTTAGATTTTTTGTCAATATGAGAGATTTTAGTATCAAGCCTTTAAGGTCTACATATCCATTGGAGATACAATGTTGGATTTCTTGCTCTAATACTAGCTCATTGGAATAGCCTCTTTTTTTTTTATTAGATTTGAATTTAGAACACTCAATTAACAACCTCTCATTTGCTAATACTACTATATTTTTTAAATATTTATTAAAATATACATTCAAAAATCTTAAATTTTTTTTCTTTTTGGACATTCAAATTTTTTGAGAATCTACTTGAAAGACTTCCTTCACTCTCTTAGAGTTCTTTAATTACTTAATGAAGGAGATTAAATTGAAAAAAAAAATCAATAATTAATTCTATGCCTTGTCTTAAATTCTAATTTTAATATTTTAAATTCTATCTAAATTAAATAATTTCTTTATTTTAAGAAATTATATAAAGATAGATATAGTGATAGAATAATTACCATGTGATAAAAATCACACTTGATATTTCTTGCATTGATTGCTAGAAGTTCTGATAGAAAAGTCTTTTGTATCAAGAGTTTGTAGCCAAATTAAATTATTAAAAAGACTTCTTTTACCAAGTAAGGATCCAATTATATTGCATCAAATTTTCCAGGAAAATCTAATTTCCCAACATCTATTAAAAAGACCAAC